TTTTGGCTTTCTTGTGCTCGAGGTTGTATGACACTGTTTCTTTCCGTTTCCCAACAGGTAATGTTAGAGTAAATGAAGATACAAATAGGAATATCATTAATATGAACTAATTATTCGTGCGAAAATTAGCAACACAAACACAATTTATTTATTATATAAATTAGGGACAGGTTATATTTATAAATTTTTTTATTTACAAACTACACTATTTTCTCCCGGGAGAATACTAGGTTTCACTATGTTCTCTCGGGAGAAGATAGTGTAATTTGTAAAAATTTGTCAAAAAATTTTGTAAACGGATCTTTCTTCTATAAACTAATGTGATACGATACAAATAATTTTTTAATTTTAATAAAAACTTAAATAACTTTACATTAATAAATAAAAGCAGAGTAAATTAAGATAAATATATACCATATATTTTTTGGGTCACTTTGTAATTGATACAAGCACAACATAACAACATATAAATATAAATACGAATTGACACAACACCAAAAATCTGTATCATGTTCATATTTTATTGGGCAGAATACACGTTGCTATGAGCATCAGTCTGCAAAGCGGAATATGATGAGCTTTGTGAACCGAGTTATAACTTATATATAATTAACGGGCCAGATATTGTTGGGAAATTTGTTCCCTCAAACTCCAATGTCAAGGGGTCCAGGGGAAGCCCGTGGCGGGGAACCACCACCAATGAGCTAAGGCTACACAACCGTAGCAAGTGGATACGACACCATGTCTCAACCCAAAACCTTAAGGCATTGGGTTCATGGGTCCATCCACTTATATACTCTTTACTTAGCTCATTACCAACCAATGTGGGACTCATCACACTTGAATATCTCAACAATCTCCCCCTCAAGTGTGAAACCCACAATTGGTATGCTCCCCCTCAACCGAGTACCCGAAGCGCAAAGTACTCGACCCGCCTCCTAGCCAATCACTAGGCTAGCTCGAGCCCAATCCGGCTCTGATACCAATGTTGGAAAATTCGTTCCCTCAAACTCCAATGTCAAGCGGGTCCAGGGGAAGCCCGTGGCGGGGAACCACCACCAATGAGCTAAGGCTACACCAACCGTAGCAAGTGGATCCGACACCATGTCTCAACCCAAAACCTTAAGGCATTGGGTTCATGGGTCCGTCCACTTATATACTCTTTACTTAGCTCATTACCAACCAATGTGGGACTCATCACACTTGAATATCATATCCCAACAGGTATTTCTATTTTTATTTTGGTATCCTGAACGGGACAAACCCCCACACACGCTAAACAGAAGAAATAAAATGCGACCTACTAACACTACCTAAATCAGCTAAATACAACAAATAAATACCATAAGTAGGGGGGACGAGAAGACACATAAGTCTTCTTCATCCTGATTAATAAGGGGGGAATTTGATAACCAATCTACACAGAAATTTCCTTCTCTATAAATGTGATTGATCTTCACAACCCAATCTCTGTCCATCCAAGTCCGTATATGAGTCACAATATGAGATTCACAGGCTGGCTCACTACCTGTGGTGAGCTATGTGCCGCAGTCTTTGAGTCACTTTCAATAATCACTCTCCTTCATCCTCCTTCCCAAGTCATCTGGATGCCCTTTAATATTCCCATAGCTCAGCCACAATTAGGGGTGTTAACAGGCCGAGCCGAATCGAGCTTTGGTTTTAGAAGGCTAAGCCTGTGTTTAAATGTGTCAGTCTGACCAAGCCTGTTACCTGTTATGAATATAATTATCGGCTTGTGGCCTGACTTATTTACAAAAATTTATCTAAATAAAATATACAATCAACAGCATTAGTAATTTCATAAATATTCATAAATTTAATGTATATCCAAACAACATAATATAGAACAAAATCATTCAAAAAGTCTGTTTAACCAATAAAATAAGATGAAATAGATTCAGGAGAAAGAGAGGGTTATTACAAGTAGTATAAAAAGTATAAAATAAAAATAAAAATTAATATACTAGGCCAGCCTGAGTGGCTTTAAGGCCGAGCTTTTGAATTGGAGCCTGAGGCCTTTTTATTAAACGAGCTTTTATACAAGTCCAAGCATGGTTCCAACAACCAATTTTAGACATATAAGCTCAGGCCTTCACGAGCCGAGCCAAAGGCCCCTGATTTGTTTATCACCCCTAGCCACAATAACATTACAATAACCAACACAATAAGAGAATCCTTTTAACCATTGGCCAAAGCAGTCTCTGTTCAACCTTCCACACGCTGTCAGACTTGGGTTCTCCTTAGCAGCACCATCCGTATTAATTTTCACCCACCCAACCTCCAAAAATTGCCAAGCAATTAGAGTCTCTTTATACCTAGTGTTTTGGTTGGTAGTGCTACTTTTATTTAAAACAAACCAAATTTCAGCTGCCTGATCTAAAATTAAACAATGATCATACCCATTATACAGTGTCTCTAAACCATGAATTATCTCATTTCTCCATTTCCAGATGCACCAAATAGTAGTAGCAAAAATGGTATTCCAGGGCACACCCCTGCTATCTACTCTATCAATACACAAATTAAACATAATCCAATCAGTATCTTGTAGAACAGTACCTTGTCGCCTGCAGCCTGGTCCATAGGAGGTGCACATTGTCACAGTCTCTTATTGCATGGAGCTGGGATTCGTCTTTCTTTTTACACAAACCACATGTTGCCTCCCCATTTGCATGCTAGCCAATATGCTCTTCGTGAGGAGTCTTCAGTGAGCTATCTTCCAAATGAGGACTTGAAATTTATGAGGTCCTTTCCACTTCCATATGATACTCCAAATGTCTGAGCTTCCACTTCCTTCCTCTAGCTTATCTATCAATAGCTTGTAGATCTCTTTGACGGAGACCCCTCCAATGTTAGGGATGTTTCATCTAAGTTTATCAACCCCATCTTGGGGTTGAGGAGGCAAGCAGCTTTAAATTGTCATAATTTCAACATTGGATAACCACCTAGACAACAAGTCAATCTTCCATTCCCTATATTCATTGACATAATTAGCGACTCTTTGTGATGACTCCTCCTATGGGATTGGCATTATAGTTTTATTCATCAATTTGCCACCTCTATTAGCCATCTATCATGCCAAAACCTCACACTCTTTCCATCTGCTACTTCCCAACATAAATGATCTTCCATCTTCTTACACACCAAACATATATACATATATATATATATATGGGGCAGAATCCGTTTACGCACTTTTTTTGCAATTACACTAATGTAGGACCGGTCATACACTGTGTGATTAATGTAGGACCGGTCCTACATAGTGTAGTTTGTAAGAGTTTGTAAACAAAAAAGTTTGTAAATATAACTTGCCCCTATATATATATATATATATATATATATATATATATATATGTTTCCATAATCTGGAGTCTTCCTTTTTAAAAGAAAACATCTCCACCCCTGATCTGTTTTGGACATATTTTGTCTTCAGTACCCTTAGCCACATAGCTTGAGGGTTAGAATAAACTCCCCAAGCTAGTTTAGCTTTAAAAAAAAAAAGCATCATTAAAATCAACCAACCTTCTGAGACCGAGGCCCCCTTCTCTCTTGGGAGTGGTTAAAATATCTCACCTTATTAGATGCATCTTCATTTTATCCTCCATGTCCCCCCAAATAAAATTTCTCTGTAATTTTTCTAGTTCAAACTCCAATTGGCAACTTCCCATATTGCATATGAAAGGAAGGGATAGTTGCCAATATTGATTGTGCCAAAGTGATCCTCCCAGCATGGGATAAGCATTTAGTTTGCCACCCAAACGGTTTTTGATGAACTCTAGCAATTATCTCTTTGTAGTGCTGTTTGGTAACTCTTTCGTGTTGTATCCATGCTCCCAAATATCTTCCAATATACTTCACTCTCTTGAAACCACTTATCTCTGTAATCCTTGTTGCTATAGCCTTATCCGTATTTTTTGAGAAATAAATACTACTCTTTTGTTCACTAATTTTCTGACCCAAAGTTTCCTCAAAAAGCTTTAGACATCTCATCATGTTGAAGCATTTTCTGACCAGATTTAATAAGATGGAAAAATCACTATTAAATATTAAAAGTAAGGAATTTTCAAATATTTAGGAAAGATCTTCTACTTCATAAATTATCATACTTGTACATATTTATATATTTATATCAGGAACTATACGTACATAAAAATAATGTAACTCGTATTACTCTCATATATAGTTATAAATTGAATGGTTAAGAATTTTAAAAATGTTTCAATTGACAAATAAAAAATCGTAACCACTCCTATTATATATGTGTATGAAGGTTATTTAAGTTACTTTTTTCCGTATATATATCATTTCTGTATTTATTTTTTTTGGTACGCATATTTTTCTGAATTTATATATACAGTAGTGTTTGTTTTATAGATATACTCCATACTTTCAAACTTTACTATACTCAAGATCGGTAACTTGATTCGGGGGATGAGAGGTAGAAAAATAGTAACTACGACCAAAAGTGATTAAGTTTACGCTAAAATTTGTGTGTATATAACAAGAGGTTATATTTATAAAAAAATTTGTTTATAAACTTTTACAAATTACATTATCTTCTTATGAAAAAATATTAAGTTTCACTATGTTCTTCCGGGAAAAGATAATATAATTTATAAAAATTTATCAAAAAAAATTATAAACGAATCTTTTTCCAGGACTTTCAGCAAAGTTATTATTTGTTAGAGACACAGAGAAGAAAGTGGGACCATCAATTTTTTTTTTTCTCATCTTTTTTTCTCTTTCTTTTTTGGTGTGTGTGCAGGAAAGAAACTGTTTATTCGTGGACATATATAATCCAATAACAAATCTTATAAATGTATGTATTCATAACATCTCTTTAAATCCGTCAACTCTGCCAATAATTTTCTTGTCGTTTTAAACTATTGCTATTCGTGTCCTAATTGTTACCTCAAATATTCTTTGGTCTTGGCTACTTGCACACCACTTTTAGCACTTCATAGCAAAATGCACAATTAACCTTCCATTAACAATAAGAAAAGCGATGTCTACAAGACTACAGCTACATGTGGATTGCTTCAACAAGGATGTTCATATAAATAAGGTAAACTATAAATATCCAATAGAGATCCATTTTATGACAACACCAAGACAAAATTCTCCAACGGACAAAGATGAATAATAAAGATTATAATAATGGGATGAAACGTTTCAGTTGTATGCAAACCACAACATGCATGATGTATATATAAAATATATATATTGTAAAAACCAGAAACAAGAAAAAATTTACAACTGGACTGTATCCCCTCTTGGCTTGATGGTTGCCCTTAGAGATTCCTTCATGACCACAGTGAACTCCAATTTCCCAGTGAAATCCAACATCTTGCCTGGTGGGTATGCACTCCACTCAAACTCCTGCACCATCCTAGCCAGCATAAGATGAATATGCACAGTGGCCATAGCCAAACCAGGACATATCCTTCTTCCAACACCAAATGGCAGCATCCTCACTCCTGTGACCCCAGTTATGTCAGCTTCCTCACCCCCAGAAATGAACCTTTCAGGGTCAAACTTTTCAGGATTGGACCACAATCTGGGGTCATCACCAACAGCTGGAATGTAGACCTCAACATTTGCATCAACTGGTATGTCATACCCTGCCAAAGTGGTAGGTTCAGTCACAGAATGTGTGAGTGTAAAGTGTGTTGGAGGATGCTTCCTTAGTAGCTCCTTAACCACAGCATGTAGGTACGGCATTTTCTCAACATCCTTTTCATCAACTTTCTTGTCTCCCACTGTCATCTTAATTTCTTGGAACATTTTTGTTTGAATCTCAGGGTTGGCTATGATTTGTGCTATGCCCCACTCAACTGCAGTTGCTGTTGTGTCTGTGCCACCATTAAGGAACTCTGAGCATAGTGTCACCAATTCAGCATCTGAGGGTACTGATTTTTTCCCTTCAACTTTGAGATCAAAGAGTGTGTCTAGATAGGAAAAGGTTGTGGCTGTGTGATCTGATCCTGGGTTTTGGAGTGCTCTCTTTCTCTGCTCAATCAAAGGGACTATGAACTCAACCTGTTCTTTTCGAACTTGCATAGCTCTCTTTCTCTGCTTTGAGAAAAATGGGCTTAGAATTGGTAAATAGTCATCAACTCTCGGATTCAGTATGATGAGAACACTCTTCATAACCTGATCTATTCTCTCCAATGCTTCTTCATCCATCTCAAGACCAAAACACATAGCCACAAGTATGCAGAACACAGCAAATCTAGCATCTTTGAGCACCCAAACAGCCCCATTGTTCTTCTCTGCTTCAACTCTAAGCCTGTTGATAAGCTTGTCCATTGCGTTGTCCCTAACACTACGAAACTCCTTGAGCCTGGTCGAGCTAAGCATGTTCTGCACCATGTTCCTTCTCAGTGATTTCCAAACTGGGCCATACACTGCTGCATTCACAGTGAACTTGTTTGCACTGAATATGTTTCTTGTTGGATTCTCTGGGGGTCTGGTGGCATAGGTTGCACCCTTTTGGATCATTGACTCATGCACAAGTTTAGCATCAGAGATTATGATCATTGTCCTTGTACCCATCTTAAGGGTGAAAATTGAGCCATATTTGCCTTTGAGATCATTGATATAATCAAAGAAAGGTTTCCCAGAACGTGCAACTTGAAAGAGGTTACCAACAATTGGCCATCCAGGGGGTCCTGGTGGAAGGTTAAGCTTTCTGGATTTGGTTTTCTGTGTGAGCAAGAAAATAAGGCATGAGAAAAGAAAAGCTAAGGCAGTGAAGATGAGATGGTAGTGAGGTGAAAGAGAAGCGGAAGCAGAGTTGAAGAAAGAAAGGGTCGTAGTAGCCATTTGAGGAAGAAGAAGGAAAGAGAACATTGGAGGAGTCGATGATGATTAAGTGAAGAAGAGGACCCATAAGAGGGTATAAAAACGATAGACAGCATGAACTTGTAGGTGGCTTTAATTAAAGCACTTGAAAGAACAGCAAAGGTGGTTGTGCTTATAAACCACTATTTTTTATTTATTTTTTTATTTTTTTGACATTTTTTCGCTTTATTGAATAATACAGTCGAATACAGCTAGAAATATATTAAAATTGTTATTGTAAACTTACTTAATAACTTCATTTTTTTTGATCGAAATAGTTATTTACATAATATCAGAGTTTAAATGATTATGAGATTACGAGTTTGACCTTCATCGTAGTGTAAAAAAATATTGAGTATGACATGTCCTATTAGTCTTACAAGTCTAATCTGACCAATATTTAAAACATAAAAACTTTGGCCTAAGCCTGTTAGGCTGTTTAAGCTTATTAAACATTTAAAAATTAAAAGAATAACTAAAATAATATCTTTTTAGGCTGTTTAAGCCTATTCAACATTCAACAATTAAAAGAATAACTAAAATAATATTATTTTATTGTTCAAATTTATTAAATAATAATTTTATTTATTATATTTTAAATAAATAATATGATATAGGTCAGCCTGTAGGCTTATAGGCACGACATGTACAAAAAAAAAGTCTATGGCCTGTTTTCTAAATAAGTTTTTTTAAAAGCTTATGCCTATTTTATTTTACCATTTATAATATGTCAAGTCTGGCATAATATAGGCTAGGCCGTAGGCCCTGTAGACCGGCCTAGCATATTTACACCCCTACTCATCGTCCTCTTTTTTTCTAGTGAAATTAAATAAATATAAGATAAATCAAAAATTAGATCCGTCCAATATTCATATTTTAAGTGCAAAAGATTCTTCCAAGGAAAAATGTGGCAGAGAATAACAATTCAACAAAACTCTTTTTATTAAATTTTTAACAAAGATCATATCTAATATTTAAACTCAAAATTACTAATTAAGTTGAATCAATCTATAATTCGCATGGTTAGTGGTTTAGGCACTCCGCTTAGTTACTGCAAGTATGGTTGGGAATGGGAAATAGTGTTGACGGTTGAGCAAGTTCAATAAAGGGGCTTCGTTGATGCTGACTGGTATTTAATGGATTCAACTACTTTTAGTTGAAGAAATTGGACAGAAAGTGATGGAAAATTTATGACTAACCAGAGAGAAACAAATGGCGCGGCTCGCTGTTAAATAGATTAAAAAACATTAAATGTCATCACTGACCAGAGTAATAATTGCTTCTCAGTCACCAAACAAAAGCGAAGGTCAACGACATGTTCCTGCTTTGGCCACGTTGCTTAAGTAAGGGCACCCCTGTCGTTCTGTGGGCGTCCATGGTCAACCACAAATTTTTTACTTAAACGAGGTAATTAATTTAAGTTAACGTTTGAAACGTGTTAGATTGAAACCAAACATAACAAAAATAAAATTTTTTACTTTACTTTTGATATATTTTAAGAAAATTAAAACTGAATATGTTATGAAATATAATCTAATTTAATTTTAAGAAAAAAATAAAAAACACGGCAAGTGCTAGCTATATTTAAAAGTCAAAAGACCTAACCTAAGTCTCTTAGTTTATTTAAATCTATCGATCATTTAATACCTATTAAGAATTAGAAAAAAAAAATAATAAAAAAAAAATCTCAAATAAATGGAGATATATTATTTCTTGTGAATCCAAAATAACATTATTTTGTGATGAAAATCAATATATTTTTGTAATTTTAATTTATTGCAGATTATATTAATTTTTGTCTTTAATTTTTAATCTTACAACCCCAAAATGATATTATTTTGAACTCATTGAAGATAACTTTATTTTTAGTCACTGAAAAAATACTTTTTCCAAAACAATATTATTTAATTAATTAAAATTATTTTTACTTGATTTTAATTAAAATAAATAATATGATATACTAGGCCTTGTAAAAATAAACTATAATCTAAAAAGATTTTTAAAAAAATCAAAACCTATTATATTTTATTGAATATATTAATTCAAATTTACTCTAATGTAAATTAGGTCATAAGCCCTTGAACAATCTAACCAATTTATACCTCTACTTGTCCCTAATCATCTATGTGGATTCTTTGCAACCTCGAATTTCTTGCCAAACGCTAAGTCTGTCGGTGAGGCCTGACTGATCTATTAAAACGGTTTTATTTCTTGTGAGTTTCAATTCCTAAGTGATTTTATTTATTTATTTTATTTTATTTATTTATTTTGGTGTTGGGCTAAAGTCCCTCTCCATAATTAAAGTCACCAAACTTGATCAACACAATTTAGGCCGAACATAATTTTGGAGCAAAGTGGGCGATCTATATTTTTCTTCTTTTGCTAATTCCACTCGACAGGTTATCTGGCCTTTATGAAACTTCACATTGGAACTTGAAAGATGTCATGACTCATGAGATAGACTTCTTTAAAGGGTGATTTCTAGAAACACAAGTGACACCGGGAAAAAATCTTTACATTCGCTAATTCTTAGATCCAACCGGGAAGGGGGATCTTCCCCCTCCCTTTCCGTCCTATTTTTTGGTCTTAAGAATGAGTGATTATCCTTCTTCGATCCTTACTGTTCAATGTGAGAGCGGATAGCTGATGCGTTCCGCTTTTTGTTTTTGAACAGAGTAAGGAAAAACTTCAAAAAAAACTTCCTATAACTTTTCTCATAATCATTTACTCCCTTATCACTTAGGGGATAAATAATAAAAAAACTTTAAGTCAGGGGATAAGTGATAAAAAAATTTTAAACAGGGGTGTAAATGATTCAAAAATTTTGTGATGGGAGTAAATGATAATTGCGAAAATTCATAGGAGAATTTTTGAAGTTTTCCCTTCTTTTAATTAATATCACAATTAAGTGGGCAGTGCAATTAGAAGAGGCTCCTAACTAAGATAATTTATTTTTTTTGAACATTACAGAGAATCAAACCGCACACCTAATACACGCTAAACACACCCAACACCACTAGGCTATCTCTGGTGGTGCCTAACTAAGATAATTTTAGATTTCAAATTTCCTTAAAGTAACCTCCAAAGGAAGATCGAAATGTCTAAAAAAATCATATTAAAAACCATTTCAAAGAAATTTTTCTTTGTTTATCAATGTTGCATTTAATTATGCCAAATTAGTCAACGGGGACTCCAAATTATCCCCAAATCAAGTCTCCAATATAGTGAATTAGTTATACGTATTTATTTAAGCCAAATCCATTTAAAATTAAATTGAATGACATCATAATTAACTGAATCAAATACTGGGATGACGTCTAACTTTAACTATGCTATAGCATATTCAAAAGTACACTTATTTAATTTATAAACTCACATAGATTATCTTTAAACAATTTAGAAAGTATTCTCTCATTTCATAGTATGAAAAATTCATTGAAATTTTTTAAACATTTATCTGTATCCGAGTATCTATTGATACAAGCTATATTTATTTGCTGGCTTAATATGATGCGCTATTTTCCAATCTTTAGGATACTTGGCCTTGATTTTTTTTAATTTTATTTTAAATATAATCGTGTTATCTTCGTTACAGATTACCGTAAACCAGTTTTTTTTTTTTTTTTACAATATTTTGGATGATTTTTAATCATAATTTTTGTGATAAAATGTTAAAATCTTGCATAATATTATAATTAGGTTATTAATGCAGGTTGAATCCGTTCGTTTAAACATAAAACATAGGCGAGTTAAGTATCTATATTTTTAGGGATTCATTTAAAAGTGAATAATTTCAATTCAACCCAGTTAATTCAAATGGGGCTAGACTCCTTTAACCTCCACACGTATTTGAGGACTGAGTAATATGTAATTTCTCTGTTTTATGCAAGTTTCAAGTTTGAATGATTAACATTTAAAATATATAAATTTAGATTTAAATTACATATCTTAACCCTGAAATAATTTTTTTTATTTTAAATTGTTATTTAACCAGGCACATATATTTCTCACATCGACCAGCGAAATTTGAACCCACGCCCTTGAAGAATATGGACCAAATCTTTAGCTAATTATGCTCACCTCGCCATACTCCAATTATTTGATGCAATGGGTAACTTTCAACAATCTAACGGTAAATACGAGCAATAACTTCAACGACTTATTCGGTGAAAGAGTTCAATAATCACGCTCAATTAAAGAACTTTCCTTTTACAGGCCAGTTCATGTGGCAAAAAAATTTAATTAATGTTTTTTAATAAAATAATTACGCATTTATTACAGTTTTGAGAATAATTACAGATCTATTGCACAATGTGACGCATCTCTTGGGCGTCACATGTGACGCCTCATTTGGACGCCCCAATGGGGCATTCTCATGAGCTGTTGACACGTGTCATTTTTTTCCAAAATAATAATAATTTAATCATAAAACTTCTGAAGGCCATAACTTTTGACTCGGGTATCCAATTTAGGTAATTCTTTTTTTGATTCCACATAACTTTTCGAGATCTACCCAATGACATCTCATTTGATATATTTTATTTCTCACAAACATAATTTAAATTTAAATCAGGTCTTTCAAATTGATACAGATTTAATTATTTCCTTTATTAATACAGATTTTCAAATTGATTTTTGAGTTTAAATCACAAATCAAATCTTTATTTTGTTTTACTTATTAATAATAATTGTAACTTTTAATTTAAATCACAAACCAAATTTTTTTTATAATAAAATTTTTTTTTAAATTAAATCACACTCAAATCTTGATTTATTTTTTATATTAAATCACAAACGCAAAACTCAGAGACTTCTGAGTTTTAAAATGTGACACGTGTCAACACCTGACACGTCACCCATCACGTCTAAATTGGGTTTCAATCAAGAGGCAATCATGCCTAATTTAGGTAATTTTATTTTTGAAAAACATTCATAAGCCATCATTAATTTCAGACCACGAATAATAATTCATAAGCTTATAGCATTAATCATTAATTTCAAAAATAATATCCTTCCTCCTTAGAGATTTAGAATATTTATTTAATTATTTTCTTTATTTCTACAGATTTTTCAAATTGATTTTTTAG